TCAGACTAGCCATTTTTAAAAGATTTTTGCCATAAGGTATGTGTACTTGCCAGAGAAAGACAGAGAGGGAAAGTGAGAAATCACCCCCCACAGGGAGGATGGACATAGCACAATCCCTTCTCCTCTGTCCTCCTCTCAGGATTTTGGGCATGCACGTACATACACCCAGTGTGTTTTTCAAGCGGTTGGATCTGAGACAATAACTTTGAAATTAACTATGTCAGATCTAGCACCTTAACCACTACACTACCTGCTGGGCCCCTGAAAACATTTCTTTCTTTCTTTTTTCCTTTATTTATTTATTTATTTATTTATTTTTTTATGAGAGGTTTTTGCTATAGGGCACATGTGCTCGCCAGAAAGACAGAGAGATAGAAAGCGAGAAATCACTCCCCCAAGGGGGATAACCACAGCGCAATCTCTTCTCCTTCATTCTCCTCTTGGGATTTTGGGCACACATGCACACATGCCTGGTGTGAGTTTTAAGTTACCGGGTCTGGGACTTGAACTGATGTCAACCACATGGGAGCCCAGTGACATAACTATTACGCCATCTACTGGTCCTGAAAACATTTCTTAAATCCAGTCCAGAGACAAGAGGTGGAGCAGTGGCAACACACCTGGACCCACATGAAAAAGGTCTTCAGTTCACATCCTGAGGCCTCCCTGGGCATGCCTAGTTTGTGAACAAATGCCAATGATCTGGGCTGACTCACTTTGGAAATAGATTACAGCATAATGACTCTGTTAGAAGTATCTCTCTCTTTTTTTTGTCTCTCTCTCTCTCTCTTTTTTTTTTTGGAGAGATTTTCACTGTAGGGCACATGCGCTCACCAGACAGACAGAGAGAGACATAGAGACAGAAAGCGAGAAATCAACCCCCAGGGGGGCTGGTCACGCCGCAATCCCTTCTCTTCCATTCTCTGATCTTGGGCACGCACGCACACGCGCCCAGCATGAGTTTTAAGCCACTGGGTCTGGGACGCGAACCGCGGTCGACTACGTGGGAGTCCAGTGACATAGCCATTACGCTAACTGCTGGTTCCCTTTATTTTATTTTATTTTATTTTTTTTAGGTTTTTGCCATAGGGTTCATGTGCTCGCTGGAGAGAGACAGAGAGCAAAAAGTGAGAAATCATCCCAAGTGAGGATGACCACTTCTCTTTCATTCTCCTCCTAGGATTTTGGACTATCTCTATCTCATAGAAGAAATAAATAAATAAACTTAAAATAATTAAAAATAAATCCAGTCTGGAACCATGCCAGGCGCATGTATGTGCATGTCCAAAATCCCTAGAGGAGGGTGGAGGAGAAGGAGTTGCAGCATGGACATCTTTCCTGGGGGCTGATTTCTCACTTGTCTCTTTCTCTCTCTGGTGAGCACACATGCCCCATGACAAAACAAAACAAAACAAAAACAAAAACAAAAACAAAACTCAAGCCAAAAAACAAAGGAGTCCTAGCACTTACACAGCACCAATAAAATTATAACTAGCAGTGTCTGAGGGCTTACAACACACTGGACATTGTTTTAAACACTTCAAATGGATTAATTCATGGAATTCTCAGAACAAACCTAGCAGTTGGGTTTATTATCACCATTTCTCTGCTCCAAGTAGAGACTGAAGCACAGAGAGGCTGAACTTCCTCAAGGTCCCACACTTGGTGGGCAGAAGAGCCAGGGCTCACACCTAAGCAGGCTGGTCCATGCTCTTAACCTCCACACGTGTGCCTTGCTGGGAGAGGAGCTACAGTAGTAGGGACCACAGTGGAGGGGAGTCATGGTCAAGAGTCATCACAGCGGAAGGCCATGGTGGAGGATGACCATAGTGGAGGGACCACAGTGGAGAGAGCTGCAGTGGGAGGGGACTCATGGTAGAGGGTAACCATGGTGGAGGGGACTCATGATGGAGGGTAACCATGGTGGAGGGGCTACAGTGGAGGGGGCCATGGTGGAAGGGATTCATGGTGGAGAGGGCCATGGTGGAGGGGAGTCATGGTGGAGAGAGCCATGGTGGACAGGGCCATGGTGGAGGGGGCCACAATGGTGGAGAGTCACAGTGGAGGGGCCACTGTGGGATAGGCAGGATGAGTCATGATGGAGGGTTACCATGGTGGAGGGGAGTCATGATGGAGGGTAACCATGATGGAGTTGACTTAGTGGAGGATAACCAGAGTGGGCCATGGAGGAGGGTACTCATGGTGGAGGGGCTACAGTGGAGGGGACCATGGTGGAAAGGACTCATGGTGGAGAGGGCCATGGTGGACAGGGCCATGGTGGAGGGGGCCACAGTGGAGGGAAATCACAGTGGAGGGGCGACAGTGGAGGGGAATCATGATGGAGGGTAACCATGGTGGAGGGGACTCAGTAGAGGGTAACTGTGGTGGGGGGAACTCAGTAGAGGGTAACCATGGTGGAGGGGACTCAGCGGAGGGTAACCACAGTGGAAGGTACTCAGTGGAGGGTAACCATAGTGGGCCATGGAGGAGGGTACTCATGGTGGAGGGGCTACAGTGGAGGAGGCCATGGTGGAGAGGAGTCATGGTGGAGAGGGCCATGGTGGATAGGGCCATGGTGGAGGGGGCCACAGTGGAGGGAAGTCATGGTGGACAGGGTCTTTGCTGGAGAGGATGCTAGGTGAGGACAGTTGACCCTGGCCCTACAGTTTCTACATTTTGTTTTTGTTTTTTAAGTTTTTGCCATGGACATATGTGCTAGCCAGAGAGAGAAAAGCAGACAGAAAGAAGGTGAGAAACCATCCCCTGGGGGAATGGCCACATTGCAAGCCCTTCTCCTTTATCTTTCTCTCGGGCTTTTGGGTAAGCACACGTGTCCAGCATGATTTTCAAGCTGCTGAGGATGGGACTCAAACCGCACAGTTGGCCATTTGGGATCTAGTGCCTTAATCTCTACACCACCTGCTGGTGCTCTAGAGACATTTACGTTTGTCATAACTGAGAGGGGGAAGTGAGCTGCTGGTATTAGTGGGTCAAGGCCAGGGACGGTGCTCAGTGTCCTGCAATGCACAAGGACAGCCCCATGACAAAGCATTTTCCAGCCGAAAATATCAGGAGTCCAGAGACTGAGAAACCTGGGTCAAGGGACTTGTCCTAGGCCACTTACCCAGGGAACTACAGGGTCACCCTGGGGAGGCTGCCACCCTGGCTGCCCCTAGGACAGAGTGTGCCGAGCTTTCCCAGGGCCTAGAAAGAGCGCAGAAGATGCTGTTGTGTAGACCAAGTGATGAAAGTCCAGTCTTACCTCCTTCATCTCCTTGGAGCCCTCTGTTCCCTGCTCATCTTAGGCCAAGGAGTCATTTCTCATTGCCCGGCCCAAAGCCCTGCACACTCAGTGCCCGGGGTCTGAGCCCCTTCCTTAGCGGAGCAGGGAAGACTTGTGCACCTGTACACCACTGTTGTTATTGAAAATGTCTTGGGACCAGCAGATGGTGTAATGGTTATGTAACTGGACTCCCATGTAGTTGACTACAGTTCAAGTCCTGGACCCAGCGGCTTCAAACTCACTCCAGGTGCATGTGTGTGCATACCCAAAATCCCAAGAGGAGAGTGGAAGAGAGGGGACTGGGCGTGGCCATCATCCCTGGGGGGTGATTTCTCGCTTTCTGTCTCTCTGGTGAACACATGTACCCTATAGCAAAAATCTCTCTTAAAAAAAAAAAAGGAAAGAAAGAAAATGTCTTTTGAGACCCATGTGACAAAGCCTGTGTCATGGGCTCGAGGCATGGAAAGATCAGACAGATAGACAGACAGATAGTGCTGACTGTGGGAAGCACAGATGGGTGGGCAGAGAAGTATGTTACCCTGGGGGGTGATTTCTCGCTTTCTGTCTCTCTGGTGAACACATGTACCCTATAGCAAAAATCTCTCTTAAAAAAAAAAAAAGGAAAGAAAGAAAATGTCTTTTGAGACCCATGTGACAAAGCCTGTGTCATGGGCTCGAGGCATGGAAAGATCAGACAGATAGACAGACAGATAGTGCTGACTGTGGGAAGCACAGATGGGTGGGCAGAGAAGTATGTTAAGACAAGACAGGAATGGTCAGGAAGCTTTCTCTCCCAGATGCAGATCCTGCCTCCCCCGTCAGGCCAGGAGGTGGAACTGAGCCATCCCCACCAGACTAGGGACCTGTGGACAGGCGGATTTCCAGAGCCGGGCGGAAACTATGTCTAGGCTTCTCAGGGAGTTTCTCAAGGCGAGGACTGGGTTTGGGCTCTCCTGCTAGGCCTAATCTTCCTGGGGTCAGGTAGACAGAGCAGGTCTGAGAAGCAGCGAGGCTGGGGTTAGGCACTGACAGCCCCAGGGTGCCCCTTACAGGTCATGGGCGAACCAAGTTCTCATCCTGCCTGTCCCCAGGCTGAGGGGGAGGTGCAGGGCTGGGCCCTTTGCTGGTCAGCCCACCCCCCAGGAACAACTCTCAGTGGTCCAGCTGACTCTGCCCACCCCTAGTGTGGGTGTCCGGCTCGTCCTAGGCAGACCTGCTCGTCTCTGTCACCCCCAATGTGGGTCCCCAGGCTCGCCCTCGGCAGGCCTGTTCCCGTCTCTGCTCACCCCAGTGTGGGTCCCCAGACTTGCCCTAGGCAGGCCTGCTCCTGCCGCGGTTTTAGGATTTGATCTTCCAGGCCTGCTTTTCCAGCTTGGGAGCGCGGAACTTTGTTCCCCAAGGTTCGCTTCACCAACAGCCTCGTGGCTTCCCTCTCTCAAACCCTTTCCTCCAGGACCCACCGCTGTGGTGACTGGCTCTCACCTCTCCCAGCGCCAGCTTCTCAGAGCAGAGGAGGGACTCCTGCCCTGGCCTACCATACAGTCTGAGCCCAGACACCCTGGGAAGAGGCCCTGCTCTGTCCTAGGGGCATCCGGTCTGATGGAGGAGTCACAGTCCCTGTCCCCGAGGGGTGTCCAGTTTAATAGGGGACTTAGCCGCATTCCCGGGCGGAGGCCGGAAGAAGGGTAGGAGTGGGGCAGGCCCCATTAGCGCCTACCTGGGGAGTAGAGCATGCTGCTGGCTAACTTGCTCGGCAGTTGAAGGTTCCAGTGGGGAGGGGAGACGAGCCCCTCCCCTAGAACTTTCCAATTGCAGTCAGAGTCCTGGGCCAGTGCACATTTTAACCGCTCCCTCTCCATCTGCCCCCCACCCTCAGACTGGTGCACCCAATAACCCAGCTCCTTCCGATCTGCCTGTCCTAATCCCCTAGCCCAAGGTTCACACCATGCAGGAACGGGGGTGAGGGTGGGGGGACCCAGCACCCCACCCCAGCAGCCTCTATCATCCAATCAGAGAAGGGTTGAATTCCTCCCTTTTAGCCCAGTGGTTTCTAGGAAAGAGTTGTCCCTGTCCATCCAACCTGGTCCTTTTATCCAGAAATCTCCTTTCCAAAAGTTGCCCTCCCACTGACCTGGTTTCTCCCACGTCATTGTCTTCACACAGGCCCTCCTGTGTTCTCCTTTTCTGGGGCATGTGCGCTCACGGGGGTGGTGGTGGTGGTGGGGGGAGTGAGAGAGCACTCCCCGGGGGGATGGCCTTGCCACGATCCTGTTCCTACATTCTCATCTCAGGATTTGGGGCACACACGCACATGTGCCCAGCGTAGTTTTCAAGCTGCTGGCTTTGGGACACGAACCACAAAGTCAGTTATGTAGGAACCAGCCATCCTAACCTCCATGTCATCAGTTGGCCCAGGAAGAAATAAACTTTAAAAAAACTGAAAGAGCAGGGGTTAGCAGATGGCACGATGGTTAAGGTGGTGGATGTCCACAGGGCCAACAATGGTTCGAGTCTTGGACCTGGTGGCTTGCTTTCTCGCTTTCCCTCTCTCTCTGTCACTCTCTGCTGAGTGCATCTGTTGTCTAGCAAATTAAAATAATAATAATAAATAAACATGAAATAAATAATTCTTAAAAAATAACAAAGGGCTCAAGGTCATGGTATCCTTATTCCTATTTTACAGATGACTGAAGCGAGGTCTAGAAGAATGATCTAAGTTGCCCAACGCCACACAGGGGGTAAATGGCTGAGCGAGGATTTGAACCTAAAGCCTCAGCTCTTATCCATTACCTTCTGTTGCTTGCAGTTGTAAAAGAAGGAAGTGAACTTTGGGACTCTGGGTCCACCACTGCACCTCTGGGATTTTTGCAGTACCCAGCACAGAGCGGGACACTCAGTCCTTGATCAATAAGTATTTGTGGAGAAGCCAGTAGGTGGTCTAGTGGTTAAGGCACTGGACTCCCATATGGTTGACCGCAGTTTGAGCCCCGGACCCGGTGGCTAGACACTCATGCCAGGCATGTGTGTGTGCGTGTCCAAAATCCTAAGAGGAGAATGGAGGAGAAGGGATTGTGGTGTGGTCATCTTCTCCTGAGGGGTGATTTCTTAATTTCTCTGCCTCTCTGTCTCTCTGGTGAGCACATGCACCTTACCGCAAAAAATCTCTCAAAAAAAAATTTTTTTTTTGTGGAACGAGTGCATGGAATCCCCTCCTGATCTAGCTGTCTGTGATGAGGGCAGGGCCAGGATGTGTGGGCATGGGTGTTCTCCATACCGCCTCCGGCCCCAGGAGGGGTCCTCAGGACTTCTGCCCTGTGTGCTGTTCGGGCATTATCTGGAGTTTCACACCAGAAATACGCGGACCTAGTTTTGAACGTCAGACCTTGCCAGGAGACCCTCTAAGGTAAGGCTGGGGAGACCCTCCCTGGAGGGGTGGGGAGGAATGAGGACTCAAGAGGTCTAGGCTGACCAGAGGCCCAGGCTGAAGTCTGTCCAGGCCAGGCAGCTGGCAGTAGTGTCTCTGTCCCCCGACACAGAAAACAGGCTTTGAGAACACTGAGGAGCCTTCACAGCCAGGGTGCCAATTCCTGCCCACCCTCCAGCTGGCGCTCTGCTCGCTCAGACTGAGGTCTTTGGGGGCTCCACCTGGAAGCTCGTTTCCTGAGCCTGCAGCTCTGACGTGTGAAGGCCAGGGCCAGGACAAGGCCCCCACCTCCACTTCTACTGTAACTGGGCCCCTTCACCCACAGCCAGCGCCCCAAACGGGCTCCCAGCTGGGTTTGCCCTGCAGACAGCTCCCCGCAGCCTCCCCACTGGTGTGTCCCTGCCTCTTGCTGACACCTGGACAATCCTCTTCAGGCTCGCGTGTGTTTGCTGTCTCCATGGCTGTACCTGCTCTCTGCGACCTTCACCTGCTCCACCCCAGGGCTCTTCCCTTCTGGGAACTCCTTGACTCACTTCTAGCTTCCTGGGCCCTGTGGGTGGGTGGTAGGTGGGGTCAGGCAGGAGGCTGTTCCAAGGGCCCTCGGGGTCACCCAGTCATATTCCGATTTTACAGAGGAAGCAGGTCCAGAGAGAAGTAGGCTTCTCAGGGCTGCACAGCACTGGGTGACAACCAGGGCTGGAAGGCAGGCCTGGCTCCTGCGGCACCTGCAGCACGTACTGTGCGTGTGTGCGTGTGTGCGTGTGTGAGACATATGTGTGGGGGAGCACCTGGCTCTGAGGGCCAATGGAGCCACCAGGGTTAGAGTCATCGCCAGGAATCATTTAGAGAGGCTGAACTTTATTTGGATGGCCCAGTGGGAGTTGTTCAGGGAGGGGCCGGGCCAGGCTTCCTCGGAGATGCTCAGGAGGGCCTTCTGGACCAGTGTGGGGCCTGTGGCTTCACACGACCTTTCACCCTGAATCTGTCCATTTGTGTCCCTCTCAGGGGTTTAGGGGGATGGTCAGAGAGGGCGGGGCTGGTACGCCCACCCTGAGCAGAGACCCTGCCTCTCAGGCCCTCCAAAAGGAGGTGGGGGCTTGCGGCTCTGAACAAGAAGTCCCTGCCCCGGGTGGGAGTGGGGTTGAACGGGCCTCTGCTCCCACAGGAGGGTGAGGTGAGGGTTCCCAGTGTGTCTACGCAGCAGCACCAGCCACACACCTGCCTCAGAGGTTTTCTTTTCATTTTTATTTTAAAGGAAAAAAAAAAAAAAAAAAGTAACCCATTTTCCAGTGTCGGCCATGCCCACCCCCACCCCCAGGCCACCCCCCTGGCGGGGCCTGACTTTCTTCGCTGAGCACTCGGTCCCCTCTCATGCATCCCCTAGGGCTGGAGCCTCCGCTTCCGGAGGCCCAGATCCCAAGAGGGACTGGGGAGAGGGAAGAGCTGGGGGGGAGCCCCTGATCCGTCTGCCCCCCCAGGTCTCCAGCCATGGCACCAGGTACCCCTCTTGGCTCTCATTAACCATTTCCTGGCCACACTACTAGCTGGGGGGGTGGCTGATCTGCGGGAACTCCCTCCACACCCCTCTCTGCCCCGGGGCTGGCTCGGGGCTCTCCTCACTGAGGTTGGGGGGCTCCCTCCCTCCCTCCATGGTGGGGGGGAGAGTGGTGAAATCCCCAGGTTTAAATACCATAATGAAAGCAGGGGGGGGAGAGGAAGGGGCTTTAGATCTAATAAATTATTAGCGGTTTAGTGTCCGTGGGTGGGTGGGGGTGGGCAGGGCGCAGCCTCCAGGGCCTCCCTCCCTTACTGGTGGATCTCATTCTCTATGAGGCTGTCCTCGCAGGACTGGAAGTCTGTGTCTGTGAGGCCATCTGGCGGCATCAGCAGCTCCTCATCTTGGGACGAGGATGACGGGGGCTCGTCCCCCGAGCTCCCGGGAGCCCCATCCCCATCCCCATCCACCTCTGAGTCCTGCAGCACCTGAGCGATGTATTTCTATGGGGAAGAGAGGTGTGGGGAGGTGAACAGTTACTCCGCATGGCGGGATGATGGGGAACCCAGCCCTGCAGGGGACCAGGGGCCTGTAGGACTGCAGAGGGGGCAGAGGGGGTGGAGGGGCAGGGTGGGGAAGGGAGCCCTCTCCCTGGGGCGTAGGGCGGCCCTCCAGTGCAGCCAGCTGTCTCCCTGCCCCTGGAGGCTACAGAGGGTTTCCCTCCTTGGAAGACTAATGAGACTGCAGCTTTGGGGGTGAGTCTCAGTGACAGGCCCCTCCCCTGCCTTGGCACTCACCGCAGATTTGGGGACAGCAGCAGTAGTGGGGGGCCGTCCATTGCTTCTGGGGTCCACTGTATCTGTCTCCGTGTGCTCAATCTTAAGGGGCCCAGAATGAGTCAGGGAGTGGGGGCACCTTGTCAGCCCCAATCGCGGCCCCACACCCTCTCGGCACCCCAGCCAGCCCTGCCCTCAGCCCCCATCCATCCCCCTGCCCCCCTGAGCGGCATCCACAGTTGCCCACCACCGTCCCCACCTTGTAGTTGTGGGCACTGAGGTATTTGAAGTGTCCGAAGCAGACGTGGCAGAGACAGATGACGATGGTGATGACCAGGACCACGAACGTGAACATGGACGTGGGGGCTAGGAATCCTGGCATGGGGGCAAAGAGCGGGGCTGCTACTTCTTCTGGGCCTCGCCGCCCCACCTGGGCTGCCTGCCGGATGCAGCTCCCGCATGCCCGTGCTGCCGCTCACCCTGACCTGCCACCCCCCACCATGCCACCCTCCTGTGGCCTGCTCTGCCTGGCGCCCCCGCCCTGCTCCCCCTCACCCGTGCGCATGGTGGAGAAGAAGAGCAGCCAGAAGAGGCAGAGGATGGGTGCGGCCACCACCTGGTTCACGGCCCCCGAGTGGATCTTCTTGTCCAGCTTGGCCGGCAGGTAGGCGTAGTAGAGGTTGTACCTGTCTACCAGGTGCTTCAGCAGCATGTACATGAGGCCTGGGGGAGCCACACGGGCCTGACCTCGGGGCTGGTGCTGCCACCCTTGGTGTGCCTGCCACGTCGTCCTGGTCCTGTTCAGGTCACCCCCTGCCCCACCCTGTACCAGACAGTGCCCCAGGCCCTTTGCTCTGCAGCCCCTCCTTAGCAATTCTACAACCGGAAACCTGTTCGTTTGGGCCAACAAACATCCTTCTGAAACCCATCTTATTTTTTTTCCTACCCTTGTCCCTAAACAGGTGAGTGCAAATTAAGTGAGGAGCTCTATTTTCTTGGAGACTGAGGTAATGGGAGTGTCCAATGCAGATAAGGAGGTTAGTTTGGGAGTTTGGAGCCTTAAGTACCTAGGGAGGGTGGGTAAGGGACTAGGATGTTATTGGGGGCTGGGGAGAGAAGAAGCTACCGGTTAAAGAGGAACTTTGCTCAACTTCTTCAGTAGGAGAGACTTGCCCAAGC